CGCCCTCGTACGTACGTGCCGTGGATACAACACCTACTTACTCGTACGGTACCCTACTTGTACTTTCCGTACCGTACAATGCCAGGAGGAACGAAAAGATCCATCAGAAAGCAACAACGCTGACCGCTAGCAATCGACGCTGACAACACAAAAGAGCCACTCCAGCTTTTCGACACGGAACAAAGTAAAAAATCGGCGCAACAAAAATGAAGGTTCTAGTTACCGGAGGAAACCAAGGAATCGGCTTTGCCCTGTGCCGGCAGCTCGCCCTRGAGCACAACTGCCACGTCCTCTTGTCGGCCCGATCGCAACAAAAGGGAATGGACGCCGTCTCCAAAATCGACGATGCCATCGGCAAGTCTCCGGGGTGCAAGGGATCCGTGGATTTCTTGGAGCTCGACACGACCAGCGACGATTCCGTGGCCGCCGCCGCCGCCAAGTTTGCGGCAACGGTGGGGGGAGATCCCTCCCAGAAGCTCGGGGCCATTGTCAACAACGCCGGGATCGGTCTGAATACGGGCCACACGGGGGACATCCTCAACACGAATTTRTACGGGCCCAAGCGCGTCTGCGACCATTTTGTCCCGCTGCTGGACGAGTCGAGCGGCCGGATCGTGAACATGGGGAGCGGATCCGGTCCCATGTACGTCTCGGGGGTCCGCAACCGGCAGGACSGGGCCATGTTGTGCTCCGGACCGGAGGGCGAGGCCACCTGGGAGGAGCTCGTCGACCACGCCWCGAAGAACCTCAACGGTTCGGATGCCTACGGGCTGAGCAAGGCATTGCTGGCGTGCTACACCGGGATCCTGTCGCGGGCGCACCCGAACCTGACCGTCAGCTGCRTCACGCCGGGTTTCATCGATACGCAAATGACGGCGGGGTGGGGTGCCTCCAAAACGCCCGAACAGGGCACCCTCGCGATCAAGAAGTGCCTCTTCGAGACACTCAAGCACGGGAGCGGCTGGTACTACGGGAGCGACGGCGTCCGGTCCCAGTACCACTTYATGCGAAATCCGGGCGAACCAGAATACGACGGCGTCAATCCGTTTCTRTAGACTCTCTCTAATGGCACCAAAACAAGACTGCTCGTACTTTCCAGCGCCAAAACTTGCTGGAAAATTAAAGCGCTAGAATGCAATGAATTTGCTGATTCACACGCTCCAGAAGACATTTGATTTCAAAAGCATGCTTCGTCAGCAGAAAATCAAATCAGTAAAGTACTTCGTAAAAAGGTGGTAATACTGTTCTGAATTAGCAATAGTAGTAGTACTTCCATGCACCACGAGTGGACTCACATTTTATGTAGATTGAAAGCCTAGTGGAGAGTGCAATAGTATGAAGTTGTTAGTGTGATGTTATATTGTTTGGTTCACAAGGGGTAATCCAAGCATTGTTCCAATTAGATGATTTTTGGTGAGAATGCGTTTGGAAAGGGGGGAGATACCCAAGATAAACAATCATAAATTGTTTGTTGGTGTTGGGGTTTTTGATTGTTTAAGGGGGGATGCACAGTTCGAGGCGGTGAGTGAAATGCCAAGACCATGCGCGCAGTGGTGTTGCAAGCAACAGAGCACCGCAGTGTGCAAAGAATAGTTTAACAAGAAGGGGCAATGCCCCCAATAAATTGTTAAATTTATTAGAACAGTTACTACACAAGATCAAAGCCAAGAGGCGAAGAGAGATGGGTTACCATACGTCGCGAGGAGTTGGTGGCAAGTCGTGACCGATTTTCAATGTTTTGTGGGAAGTCCATTTGAATGCGAAACAATTTTTCTCAATTCCGTTATGGTAAATGGTAATGCGTCAGTAACTAGTATTGTCTTCTACACAAATCTTTTTCCCTCCTACTGTACAGTCTGAACAAAAAGGAACATGAATGCCGCATCGTCAAGCACATTCAGTTCTTGATAAGGTATCTCACAACATTCTTTTCGACTCAACAATGCACTCCTGCAACCCACTGTTCAGATCGCTCTTTCTCGCATTGTATATAGCAGTTATTCGCGACACAACTTTCGGTTCCGTGAACGGATTTTCGATGTCGTCTCCGTCGGGCTCAAAAMCCATCTACGGAGTGCCCAATTCGGGATGGACGTCGCCGGAATGGAACTGGGGTTATGCGTCCGGAACCGGCCATGATTGCGCCGCAATTTGTAGGAGAAAGTATTCCACGCGGGGAGAACGATCCGCTCTGATCGATGAACTGGTWTCGGCATCGCCAGCGACCGACCTGGAAGAGGTCAAGCTCGTGATGGCACTGGCGTGGCAGAGCGGTCGCTGGGATGGCTCGGACGGGGGCCCGGGAGGATACGGGGACGTTCTGGCAGCGATGGCGGATGCGARGCGGTACGAAGACGAGAAGACGGGGAATTTGTCGTTGCTTCGAGACATGAAGGAACGATTCGGCCTGTTGAATCCTACCAACGACGATCGCATTGCGATGGAAAACCTAACCGACAACGGAGACGACGTGGATAGTGCGCTCCGAACTTGCAGCGGATTGGTTCTCAAAGCTATGGGATTTGTTGAATCCGGATAAGAAGAGCCATAAATGGAAAACGTAGCAACAAAATGATCAGCAATCGAAAAGGAGGAAACGAACCGAAACTTCTTTTCAGACAAAAGGCATTTATCGGTGAGCGAGAGGATGGAAACTGACCTTCCASGCCCCGAATCTTTTGCTAAAAAATAGAACGCACAACTCTTTGCTRCTATGCGTTGTTGTTGTCGTCCTGCCTTAGGCTTGGAAATAGAGAAAGGAATCAGCGAATATATTTGCATCGCATAGTATCTCGAACGAAAGCCAAATCGGCCGTTTAAATTGCGTCAGCAGTTCGCTTTTCTCAGGACGAGTAGCGAACAGTTACGGTCGACAAAGTAGACTTGCATAATCTCATCAACCATACTAGAAACACTTTCCTTCTCTAGTGCTCTTCATTAAGCGAYATCACTTGCTCGGCGTGGAGGACGCTATTTTCTGACGGAGTCGATCAAAAATACTTCTAGTTGATAGTTGAGAACAAGGTGTGATAGACAAAAAGTACAGCAAACATTCCGGCAAATAGAGAAACAACAAGCAATSATTTCTTGTTTCGTGACGAAATAACTACAAATCTCATGATGCCTTGTATTGCTGGACTCTACTCATTATCATCAGATTGCCCGGGATTACCATACAGGTGAAGACCAGTGTGAATGCTGCTATCACTACTTTGTATAAAGATCGGAACAAATAATTTATGGCACGTACTATATATGAAATCAAMAAAATAAAACAWGAAAGTTTTTGTGCCATTGAACTCTTTTGTTCACTATAGTTMATTACTACTTCTTTGGCTACTTCATCCGCACCGTCTCGATACARCGAGGGATGTTGGTTATCGAGAGTGATGTCGCGATTCCTCGAAATCTTCCTCGTCCATTTTCAGTTCATCGAGCTGCCATCGTATCATTGATCTAATCTCTGGACGAATTTCCTCCGAAGTCAAGAGAGTGGCACAAGAACTAGTGAACCAGTCCTGCAGGTCTAATACCAGCGAACGAAAAGAGACGGTTTCTTTGGATTGAACGTAYATCAGCACCTGGTGCCACACACGAACCCACGCCTCTACGCTGCGACGAAGGCGAGCGGCATGGGGATCGTCCTCGATGATACAATCGTCGTTGTATTCGCTGTCTCCAGCACAACTGGATTCCCCGAGTCGCACAATTGATCCATGCCGCGTGTGAACATCGTCAAGATGCAAGGCTAGCGTATGCATCTGTCGTATTGATACATCCAATGCATTGCCCATCCAATCGCTCTGTCGATCGTCTGGCAAACGAGTCCGCAAGATCTYCATTCCATTCTCTGTTCGTCCTACTTGTGCCAGGACTGCGATTGCAGCGATGTACCACTGAGGTATGGCCGATACCAACATGGAGGAATTACAGGAGTCATAATTTCCTTTGCAGCTGTCGCGGTCGATCCTTTTGAAAGAAGAACCACTCCTGTTGGCTTCGTCAATTTTGGAATTCTTCCCGGCCGAATTGCGGGTGGTACTCGAAAGCAAYCCATTCGATAAAATCTGTGCAGAGGACATCGAACGGTTGCCATTTTTCCCGTTGTCCTTCATCCATTGCCCGAATTGCAATTCCTCAAATAAATCCAGAAGAAGGCTTATCATAAAAAGCCCATTGGAAGGAGGAGGTGACGGTGGGGTGGAATCGCGCCTTTTCTTCTTGTGCCAAGATTGGTCAGTTCCGAGACCCTTTCTGTTCTTATACCAAVCACCGAGCTGTCGGGGAGATGCAGCTTGCAAAATACCACCCACAAGGCCAAAGCCAACTCGAATAACTGATCTTCTGCTTCCTCGGAAACAACGCTTGCGTCATTATGAGGTCTGATATCGATACCATTTGTGCTGTTTCCGCCTTCGTTCTTCGAAGAAATGCGCTTCGTTTCCATATTGGTTGTGCCTGGTTTTGCACTTTCGTCTACATCAATATCCATGGCCGTTGTTGCTCTGTCTTCCTCCTTTGAMGCCGGTAGAACCACCGTGCCAGCCACTGGCAATCTTGCCAGGAAATCTTCGTATCTACCGATGCAGTTYCGGGACCGCCGGCCTCGATCGGAATCGTTCCGCTTGTTYCCCGCGCTTTGTCGGCGCCGACTGTTGCTCGCGGGAAATGGATCATTCGAATRGTTTTTCCTGGATCGGATCAATTTCCGATAGGTGATTCGTTGGATAGTCGTAGCTAWGGATGGATAGCAGAGATTCCACCAAGCCTCAGAAGTGCGATTCACAGTCGCCGCCAAACCATTCCTTCCAGTAGCTTCTGCCAAAAGAATTCGGAGGGTTTGCAAATGCATTGGATTTTGCGAAGCAGACAACCATTGGATCCATTCGCGAAAAAGACACGACGACGAAGCGATCGAATATGTGGGATCTGCTGCTTGGTTGTCGTTTGGATTCCACCATGGATTYCGAAGCGATYTTCGGACTTGTACTTGTCTGAGTTCCTGTCCGGAAAGTCCGTTTTCGTTTTTGGTATCATGATCTCCATTAGATAGCAGAGGACGGATTCGGTCTTTTCGCCGGTTACGACGTCGAGACGTCGTTGATGAATACTGCTTTTGCTGTTGCTGCTGGTGGTGATCAATCTGGGAATCCRCACCGCTGGGCCTTTCCTCAAACGCGCCAACTTGTTCGACAACGTGTTTTCGCGCTTCTGGAGATTGGAGCAARAACGCAGACCAGTATCGATCCGCAGATTCAGAGGAAGATTTCTTTACAAGCCATTCGATCAAGGTTCCYTCAGTCCACACAAGAGGAGACGGCAACGGATTCCTTYCATGGACATCTAATAYAGGTGCAGCGCAAGGTTTTGAAGTGGCGATGGAAAGCAAGACTTGTCGAACGTTGCTRTCATCTCCACGGYTATARCCGATAACATCWTCTTCCTTGTCAGTAACCATTGCATCATTCTTGCWGTCCTCTCGCGCTAGAGTTGTGCTAGCATTSGGGTTGCTCTTGGGCTTGGGCACCGAGAAGGACTGCGACGGTTCCAGTTGTGCCAACAGGTTCAGGGCCAAGCGCACAAGGGGGGCATTTTGTGTGGCCCTTCTTCTAGAATTCGCACCGGACGGTGYGAGSTCTTCGGCGTTGAAACCTAGGGCATAGTTGACGTCCCGTTTGGGTTTCTTGGAAGAGGAAAAGGATGTGGCAGCCTCAAYATCGTTAGCGGGGAATTCCGCGGATGGCGTTGTCTTGGACGATCTAGACGGTTGCAGGTTTGCCTGGYTGCCCAGTAGGCGACTYGAAAAGGCATCATGGGTTGAAGCTCCAGTGGYGATCGCGCTGCTGGGAGACGAATCCGAAACGATGCTCCGGCCCTGGTTGGATGGTTTTTCCGATTGGTTCTGCTGCAGGAGCAGTTTCCATCGCTTGGCTTCCCGCTGGGCCAGGCGGAGTTCGTGCTCCATCTTGGACTTTTCTAACTGGGCTTGTTCCTGTATCGTCCTGCGCGTGTGCTGCAATTCGGCCTCGAGGGCCACCACCGAGGCCTCGAGCTCGAAATTCGATTCGTTGGATTCGTCGAGCTGGGCCTGGAGGCGTTCGAGGAGTTGCTGCTGGTGTTGCTGATTGTTGTTCTTCGAAAGTCCGTTGTTGCCATCCTGTGCGTGCTGAAGAACACTGTTGGAACAGTCGTGTSCGGCTTCTTGTTGCTGCACATCAGGAAGCACACTGGCACGAGATGACGGTGATTSAGCTGTTGCTCGYTTATCATCATTCATTGGTGCCTGCTCCTGGTGGTATTCTAGTTGTTCCTGCTGTTTTGGTCGCACGGGGTTGATAGCAAATAACGAAGACGTTGTCACAGCAKATCGCTGCTGYTGTGTYTTTTGYGTATACGGGTTGCGGTGAGGATGGTTTTGGTTTTGGTTGTTGTGCCTAAATGCCTGCTGTYGCTGCTGCTCGAGTTGCTGTTCTGCTTGAGTCCTCTGAGAGTACGGATTGCGGAGATGGTAATTATTATTGTCGTTGTCACTATTGTTGACATTAACATCGTTGTAACTATCGCTGTACATGTCTACGCTACCGCTTCTTCTATTGTYTCCATACGAAGAGCGGCCCGAGTTGTGATCGTGGTTCCTGCGGCTCATGATTTGTTTCGCGTGTGTTGAACAGGTTCTTTCTTATTCAAACCAAAGCAAGACGGTCGTCGGCAAAACCGTATCCTCTCTTCAGTGGAAACACTAGCGTGATCTGTCGATCCACTGCTCCACTTGTTTCGACAAGCCCCTCGATTGATCCGCCCTCTCCTACAACACATCCACCCTGGATTGCTTGGGTGATGAATTGTCTTTTTTCCAAATTTCAAAACTTGCTTCCATGTTCCCTGTTCACTGTTCACCGCGCCTTCCATCGATATTTTTGCTTTACAGTACCATAGTACAGTTCGTCGATACGTATGTACTGTACATGCTAATGCATAGAATTATTTGTACTAAACATACCGTTCTTATGATGCTACGATACTATCATGCACCGGTAAGTACTCTTAGGAAGGAGTCATAATTTGACCCCTGCTCTTAGGCAGGGGTGCGGTGATTATGACCCCTGCTCTTAGGTACCGTACTATGATCTACAACCAATTAGATATGGAGGAACAAGGTCCAAATTTTTCGAAGATGTTCGTCGTGTGAGGATCAACGCAAACTTTTTATCCATGAAAAATACTTTGTCATTCCCGAACACCCAGGCGATAATACTGTAATACTGTAAAATCCCGTACCTCAGGTAACTCCCGTACTCTACGGTACGTACCGTACGGTACCATATGACGTCAACTACATGAAGAAAAGCCAGCYAGACAACCATTCATCTCATCCGATAAATTCCTTCCCTCAACGCGAGGATTCATTGAMTGTGAGAAATTTCACTTCTTGATTGATTGATCTTGAATCGCGCAAAAAATAATAATACCGTAACGACGACAAGAAAAATTTGAAATTGCATTCCAAATTCCAACATTGAACATGATATTAAACGATAMCGGTAGATGGCCTTGATATGGCATGATGGTCTGATTCAGTTTGTATTCTTACCATAACCAAGCAACAAAAGCAGACATAGCCTGGTACGATTCATTTCATCCGATGACATAGCATCAAATTGCGAGTGTATTTAACGRCAATGAATCCTTCCGCGTTACCCTTTCTCGTTACTCTCGAAGACGATGCTGGATCGTTATCGTCTTCTAGCACCGGATTCCACGACAGAAAAGATTTGTCGGGGGATAGCATCAGTAATGTAGAATGTACGTYGGTGATGATCGAGGACACGGCTTCGACAGGAGGAACCCAGAAAATCGCATCTGGCGATGGATTCTTCGCCGTTTCGATGGACGGCACCGAAGACCACCAAGGACAAGAATCCGGTATCTCCTCGCTACAAAAGGGCCGGCTTGTTTTGCTGGTCCTAGCGATGGTTTATGGTTCGCTCAACGTGAGCACACGCCTGGTGTTTTCCCGCACAGATCCACCCGATGCGAGTGTCTCGTCCGCGATCCAGGGATGGTTTTCGGTGCTGTGCTTTTTTCCCCTCCTGTGGGGTAARCACCGGGTCCGACACGAGAACAATGGTCCGCCACRAGTTGCCAGCGACGCTGAYAAGGCACGCACCGAAGGAATCCTCACTCCCAAACCAAACGGCAAGACCATCCTTCAACCTCCCGGTTTTTGGAGGTTCGCCATGGAACTCGCGCTGATTGACTTTGGAACCCAGACCCTTACCAACATGGGACTCAAGACAACCCCGGGCGCAAGGGCCTCCTTTCTCATCCAAACGAGTGTTGTTTGTACCCCCGTGGTTTCTGTCCTCCTTGGCAAGCAGCGGGTGCACAAGCGGGTTTGGTTTGCCTGCTTTGTGGCCCTGGCGGGCTTGTTTATCCTGTCGCAGGAGCAGCAGCCATCGTTGGAACAACAGCCATGGGACGACACATGCGGAGCTGAATGTGGKCATCCCATCGATCTTGTTGGTAATTGCACCAGAATGAATGTTGCAAATCCATACTGCCCCCGCGASTCTGATTTGTTCGTGTCTTCGMCAGGCTTCACCAAAGGCGACTGGAGCTGCTTGTTCGCCGCCCTCTGCTGGAGCCTCTACATCTATCGGATGAGTGTCTGGGCGGATTCCTTCGACGAAACTATCACTCAGTTTGTCAAGAACAGCGCGGTGACCTTTTCCTATACTCTGTGGATGTTGGTTTCCTTGTTTTACAAAGACGAAGCCCATGCCGACGACGRGGACAACCTGCGGCTCGATTCTCCCTSTTGGTTGTGGAAGACATGCAAAGATCCGGTGGTCTGGATCATTCTCTTTTACAACGCTCTTGGTCCGTGTACGATTGCCGACGTTTGCCAGCAAAGCGCACAGGCCTTTGTTCCCGCTGCAGAAACCAACGTGATTCTGTCTCTGGAGCCCGTATTCGCCACGCTTCTCGGATTCCTGGTCCTCGGGGAGACTCCCTCGCTCCGTGAATCGGTCGGGGGCGTGTTCATTATCGCGGCATCCATCATCGCCAGCTGTGGCTCGGACGAGCCACGAGCACCGCCATCTCGCTCTTCTCCCCAGGTCTCGGTTCGATGACAAAGCTTGCTTCGTCGGTCGCCGGAAGCGGCCGGGAACGATCATCAATCCGATTCCAGAACGCTAGTAATTTTTCTTAGTCCTGCGGTTTGCTGGTYATGAGAGAGAGGGAAACCAGACGGATAATGTAACTTAGAATAAACAAAAAATTGCGTCAAAACGTTAAAGGTGCAATGAAAGGAACGGATTGGATCAAAATKCTTAAAAGTAGATGTAAAATAAAGAATTAAAATAGCTTGCCATCCATCGTCTGCCTCATTCTATACATTTTGGAAATACCCCCAGAGTTTTATTGCGAATGCGATTCTTCTCTTATCCATACAAGACCTGTTGWAGGGTTTCCCTCAAGGCCTTTTTCCCGCACGGTATTGGCTTGAAGAGAAAGGCATCGCTTCCGGCCTCGAGGAACTCCGTCTCCTTGTCGTTTGCGGAAAGCCCGCAGATGCGGCTCGTGATCCCGTTGGCCCGYAGCTCGGCTACGGTCTCGGTGCCTAGCAACTGCTTCTCGACGCTGGCCATGTACATGTCGCAAAAAATCAGATCAAACTCTTCTTCTTCCRCCAGCAGGATCGCTGTTTCCCCGTTTGCTGCCTCTCGAATGGTCCATTCGGGTGCAACGGTCTTCATCGTCCGCGCAAAGAGTTTTCGCAGGATGCGGTCGTCGTCGATGAACAAAACCTTAAGGTGTTTGGGAAGTTCCGGAAGAGTAGTAGCAGAGCCCTTGTCTTGGTTCTGTTTTTGGTTGGTGTTTGTCGTTTCGCTTGTATCAACCTTCTTGCATTCCGTGTCGCCACCTGTATCATTCTCAATACACTCGTCGTCATTCTCACAGATGCGAACGCCATCTACGTATGGCGTAAACACTGACGATCCTATCGGGCTGGAACGGAGATCGATGACGAAACGGGCGCCGGGATATCCTGGTATCCCGCTGCAGTACGTAGGGTCCAAACTAATCTCGCCATCCATCAAATCAATTAGGGTTTTGCATAGGTGTAGACCGATGCCCTGTGAATTCAGAAAATGGGGGAAAGGAAAGAAGAGTGAGAGAAATTCGACAGAGAATACTAAGAATGAAACAGCGAACGTTTATAATCTGCCGTGTTGCGTGGCGTGGCGTGGCGTTGCACTCTTACCGTTCCTTGTCCTAGAAGGTCGAGAGATTCTTGGTACTTGTTGAACAAATTCTCTTGCTTTTCGATTGGAATGCCCGATCCGGAATCCTCCACGTATATTTTCACCGTGCTGTCCAATGACTTCATGGTATTTGCTTCGATGTCAAAATCGTTTGAGCTCAGATCGATGCTTAGATCGTCGTCGCCGTCGCGTTCCAGCACCTCTGCTCGGAGCCGAATGAAMCCCTCGTCGATAAACTTCACGCTGTTGCGACTCAGGTTGAGTATGACCTGCTTGAGACGCAGCACGTCCGTGTTCACGATAATGTTCTCTGGACAATCCACRATGATCCGAACCTTGCTGTTGACGCCGTTGCCCCCACCAATGTTCTCTCCTCCCCGGTGCAGCATGCCCGCAATGGGCTGCAGAACGTCCTGCAACAGATCGGCCGGGGCAAACTTCACCTTGAGCTTTTTACTCGCGGCACGATTCATATCGAGCATGTTGCGCAGCAGGTCGTTGATGAAGTGCAGGGCGTGGTCCACCACCCGGATGTCCTCCCTGGCCTGAACGAGCCTCGGAGACGWYTCGGTCCTGCCGCTCGAGTGYAAGGCCGCCCTCGTGAGCGAAGACACCAGGCCGTCATTGTCGTCCGCGGCACCACTGCAATCGTTCTCGTCCTCGTCTATGTCTTTTTCGACCGAGAACGAAGCAACGCCGGCGTTCCTTTGCTCTTCGCCRTCGYCGTCGTCGTCGTCGTCGCTGTCCTCACCCATATCTATATCCATATTYATTTCCGCGTCGGTGTTCGCGTCGTGAAAGTGGTCACCGATCCCCCGGRTGCTCCGGCTCCGGCGGTCCAGCTCCGTCCGCAGAAAYTGGGTCGCGGCCATAGCGGCCGCCAGCGGGTTCCGGACCTCGTGCGCCAGGAAGTCGTTGAGCTCCCGCTCGGTCTGGGCCGCCTTGTTGGCGTTCTCCAGCACCAGGGCGTTCCGCTCGGCCGCCGCCCTGGATTTCAGCTTCGCGTAGACGCGGTTCCGGCGGTCGTTGGCCACCACCCATACCGCCAGCCCCACAAAGGCCGCAAAGACGAACAGACCAATCATGGCCACGACAACCATCTGTATGCGGTCCGGGCCTTCCTCGTTGAGCACGGTGACCGTCCATTTCCTGTTGGCGATGGAAATGGTTTTTTGGTAGCACGAAATGTCGTCGTCGCAGTCGAGATCGTACAGGGAGACTTCCTCGAGGAGGTGAAACGACGATGCCRACTGCACCATCGCTGTGCCGTCGTGGTGGTTTCTGTTTTCGTCGCTGGAATACGTCGAGTTGCAGTCCAACCGTGCCGCTCCCATAAAGACCGGATCGATCTCTYTCGGATGGGAAAGGTCGTGGATGTAGACCGATACCTTTTGGTTCTGGTGAATGGCCGCCCGCTTCATTAGGTCGGAAATGCACAACACGATGGATGAGAAATCCCTCGGCCAGCTGGTCTCRTCGTCCTCGCTCAATCGAACCCCCGGGTGCATCAGGACCASCCCAAAGGACGGACCCGAGTAGCTTGTGTCGTCGTTGCCGCTGCTGCAGCGGCTCACCTGGCCCTCGTGTTTGACCAGGGACAGCCGGTCCGTCAGCGAGGGKCGCTTCGTTCGAAACAGGGCGTTGACGGCTCGTATCCGTGAYTCGCTCGAATAGTAGTCGAGGTCGATGGCTGCCTCGTTGCCCCGGATGGGTTCCATGTAGTGGATGGGGAAGTAAAAGGACTGGTTGCGCCACCTCGGTTCCAGGGACGTGGCATCACCGTTGAATCCTCGAAAGCCGGTGTAGTCGACCTCCGGATAGTGTTCGCCGTAAAAGGCGCCGGCTTCCGACTCGGCGTTGGGTCGTTCAAGGGCCGAAATGTTGGGATCAAACTGCATGGCCTTGAACTCCAGGCCGGACGCGTCGATGTACTCGTAGAGTTCGCGAAAGTCCCGCCGAAAGGATTCCGACCAGGCGTTGTAGTACTCCGTGTAGCTCGTTTGGTTGTGTTCGAAGGACGTCGCGTTGAACCGAGGCCTGTGGCGGCACCTGCCGTGGATCAGGGACGCAACATCGGCGTATTCGTCAAAGGAATCGCCGATCTTCGCCACCGTGACGGAGGCACCGCTCTCRAACTCGTTCCGGCGAGATCTGTTCTCGGCCCGCAAAAAGATCATCGCGAAGACGACCCCAGCGATCAGTCCAAACACCACGATGATACCGGCCAGGCCGGCGATGCTGCTCCTCGTATTGTTCCGATTGCCCCGGTTCCTTCGTCGCTGGTGTTCCTGCTGCTGTCCCCTGCTCCACTTCCTGTTGGATCCACGGTGTACGAATTTTCSCCATTCTCGATYGCGACCTGCGCTTGTGTAGGTACTGATGGTAGCAAGGTCGTCGTACGTGGTGGTGGAAACCGTGGATGCCGTCTTTTTCCTCATCGTGTTTGGCTTCSGTGTGAAGGGACAAGCAGAATATTCTGTGATCGTATCGCAGCAAAGTGCGGGGAATAGCAACGTGTGCCCTAGCGTGAAGCTCTTCCCGGTTTTCGATGCGGTCTATTACTGTGGCGAGGATTCGTTTCGATTGATTGAAAAGCACACGGTACGTACTCGGAGGGTTCGTTGTTCTTGCAGTTCGCAGTCAGATCCGAATKCCTTCGCGTTTGTCTGTCTCGCGCTGATTGGATCCATAACTWCTGTGAAAAAGTCGTTTTCGCACGGTGCCATACGTGATGAATAATAATTTCTGTACTACGGCATGTGTGAGGCCAACAATGAGACCTCCTACCGTACTAGTTCAAACCATGATTTTCTGTATGATACTGGCCAGCTAGAACGGGTACGAGTAGTATGTAGTTCTGTCACAGTGAAACGGAAAGGCTGTAAGGCAGTTCTTCTTAGGTCCTGCAACTTGAAAAGATAGATCGAGAAAATGTTCAAACTTCAATGCCCATAAATACAAACGAATTCCAATGAATGACCCCTCTGTCATCCATACGAGATTAAGAGAACTGTCGTTGAAATTGTTTTAAAATGAGTACAGAAGAAGTTGACTATGCTTTCAAGATTATTATGTTCTCCTTCATTGGCGTAGACTTGTACAGATATTGCAAGAACGTAAGAAACAGAATGGTACGTTTTTGTTTCTTCGCTCTCGTCAGAAAAATCGGGACTGGAAAGCGATGAAACTCTTAATACGTCATACATAGCTCGTTTTCGGAGCTTATTGCGCCATCGTAAATACTTAGGCTCATTTCGGGAGCTTATTTTTCTCTAACGAACCAGAAGTAGTAATATAATTATTGGGTGATTCCCGATATTATAGAATTGCTAAACTGCTTATTTAGCATTTTTATAATATCGGGAATACAAATTTCAACGGACAGACCCCGAGCATGCCAACTCCATGCCAGTCTTTTTGGGAATTTGGAATCTTAATTATTCTCCAACGTAAAGACTTAAAAGACTGAAACGCGCGCCATGGTTCAAAGTAAAACATGAAATTTTCGATACTCATCAAACTAGCCTCCTACATCAATCCACTCACGCTCTACTGTACTCATTTTGTATTACCAGCAGTAGCGCATGAGTGGGTTGATGTAGGCCGAGCCAGCAAGAAACACACTAAAAGACAACAGTTTCCTCCCAGCAAAACAAAAGGCAGCAACATCGACCGACAATGGGATTAATAGAAGTGATCACCATGTACTGGTACCTCCAGTTGAAGGCTGAGGAGGAGGATGAGAGAACAAGAAGTTACAAAAGCAAACTGTCTCCAGAAGAGAGACGTCGTAGGGACAGGAGAACTCCTAGGATTGCAATTCGGAGATACGCTGATTCCTCCTTCCTGTTCATGTTTCACTCAGGGGATGACCAAGCACTGCTGAACTGCTGTGGAGTAGACTTCAAGGTCTTCAGGGAGCTCGTTGACCTATTTGCTCCAGTATGGAATAGGTACACAGTCAATCACAACAATGAGATTGTGGAGGTTCCTCTGTTCCCCAGTGGCAAGCCCAAAGGGAAGAAAAGGGAGGTTGATGCAGTCTGTGCAATCGGCCTGGTCCTTTACTGGTTCAGGACACGAGGATCGGTGGCAAGGACAATGGCAATGGCATTTGGCTTAACATCCACAGTAATGTATAAGTGGCTCAAGTTTGCAAGGAGAGTATTGCTTGTTGCCCTTCACAAACACCCACTGGCCATGGTCAGTGTCCCAACTGAGGAAGAAGTGGATGATTATGTTAAGGCAATTGGAGACAAGTATCCAAGGCTCGGAGAACAACGCGTCTGGGGAGCTGCTGATGGCCTCAAGCAAGTGATTGAAGCGTCCGGCGACTGGTACAAACAAAGACCATTCTACAATGCATGGAAGGAGAACACCTATGTCAACAGTGTATTTGCCTTTGCCCCTGATGGTAGGATCCGCATAGCAGTTTACAACTGCCCAGGAGCATGGCATGACAGTGCCATCGCAGAGCATGGTGTGTATCAACAAATTGTCCAKGTCAACAAAGAGTGTAACAACGCAAAGGTTGTGGTGGATTCAGCATTTGCCCTCAAAGAATACCAGGACAGCCTCATCAAGAGCTCACAGAGAGACCCAAACGAAGCACATCTGATACTCCTTAACAGGGAGGCCACTTCATTGAGACAGATGTCGGAATGGGGGATGAGGATGATTCAAGGTCAGTTTCCACGAATCAAGGACAGGATGTGCTTGGAGGAGAATGGGGAAAGAAGAATCACTATGAATCTTCTTATCAACTTGTACAACTTCCAATGTAGTAGCATTGGACATAACCAGATCCTATCGACGTTCATGAGGACACCACCAGCAACCGATCCCTTGATTCCTTATGAAGAGTTGAGGAAGGACCTTGCAGGAGGATACTTCCATGTAGGCCGCGGGCTCTCTCCAGATGGAAATGGAGTGTTCCGACCGTGAATCCCATGGTCGATTGGTTGCTGTGAACAAGAAAGTTATCGTGAAAACGAAAGTTTAGAACAATGGAATGATGGGATAACGCGAGTATTCGGCAGCAACGTTGCTGCCGAATACGCAATACGGCAGCTACGGCAACACACGGCAACACACGGCACGACACGACACGACACGACACGACACGACACGCTCACCACCATGGTGGAGAGGATCCAATGGTTACTTTCCTTAGCTTGGTTTGAATCAGCGGCAGCACTGTGTTTAGTTGCAAACACTGTAATGAACTATGAGTGTGCGAGGGGG